GGACTGATTAAAGGAAATGTGGATAGGTCTCTTGTGATGCAATGGTGAATAATTGTTACCAGGACTGATTGTGAAGGTTATAAATGTAAAAGTGGGCATTCTGTGGCAAGGATGGAAGTGATTGACTTTGCTGGCTGGGAGCTGAGGTCCCTGGAACCATGAAGGGAGAAGAGCGGAGAGCAGAACCCTACCCAGAGAGGCAGTGATCCCCATCCCCGAGATGGAGCAGCTGGGGATTCCCCAGGGAGGAAGAGGGGCTGTGTGATGATGACCCGGGGTGGGAGGGGAAGCAGGGCATGGGAAGCAGGCTTATAGGATGTACCCTTTTGTTTATTGGTGATGCGTGGAGGGGATTGTAACCATGGCAATGAAACAATAAAAGATAGGATGAATGTAAAACGGATGTTCTCCCATGTAAACTGTCACATAATTCACAATAAAACTAAAAAAAAAACAAAAACAAAAAAACACACATCCCTACATAGTATCTTACACCCTTCTGGGAATAGGTCTCAGTGTTTACTTTCTAACAAGCTTTCCAGGTGTTGTAGTGTGGTGCTGGAAGACAAGCACTGAACGGCTAAACTAAAGGTTGCAGGTTCAAACTCACCAGCTGTTCCTTGGAAGTGTTATATGTCGGAACTGACTTGATGGCACTTAACAGCAACAACAAATGTTCCAAGAGATTCTAACATACAGTAGTGTTTTGTTTTTTTTAAACCCTAGGTTCGGTACTCCGGATGGGCCTTGGAAGGGTCCACATAATCTTTTAATGTTTATGCACAACTTTTGTAAATATTAATTTTTTATCTTTTCTGAGTAAGAGTTTAAGGAGTCTCTTAGATACTCAGTGCAGTCTAAAACCAAAAGCAAACTAAGAGCTTCTATATAAAAATAATCTGAAACCTTCCTGTAATCTTTGAACTACTTAAATGAACACGTTATCATCTGGCTAGGCAGGTTTCTGCATACAATCCTCCTCCATAAATTCTTGAAACTCACAGGTGCTTATTTTTATATTGTTGTTTTTTCTATTGTCCTTGCTTTTGCAACTGTTGTCTTCCCATGAGTGTTAATATCAGCAAGACGGAAAGTGTTAAGCAAGCAATAAGAACAACACCCATTACGTACAGATTACAGATTAGTCTCCAGTGGAATTAATATCGGTATGAATCACAATAGTAACCATCCAAAGAATTGTAAAAAATAATAGTTCTTTTTATTCCTTCACTGTGCCCTGGTGTGGCACAGTAGGATAAGCACTGGGTGCATTTGTTTTGTTGGGTTTTTTTGTTTTGTTTTGTATTTTGTTGTTTTTTTTTTGGGGGGGGGGGTCCATGCACATGTTAGTCCTCAAAGTGACACTCTTTGCTCTTTCATACTTTAAAGCAGTCTTTTGCAGCAGATTTGACTAATATAATATGTCATTTGATTTTTTAACTGCTGTTTCCGTCATAGAAACCTTGATTAAACAAATATATCAAAATGTGAAGCTATTGTTCTGCAACATAGCCTCCACCTAGGTCTATACACTTCCAGAGATTGTTTTGCCATTGCTGTAATCCTTCTCTAAAAAATCCTGCACTCTTCAATTTGCACCATGTCAAACCAGTTTGGACATCCTCAAAGGACTCAAATTGTGTTCCTTTTTAATGTTTTTTGATTTGGGGGAACAAAAAGAAGTAGGAGGGGGCAATATCAGGGTGATAGGGTGAATGAGGTAAGGTTCCCTCCTGATGACATTCTCATAGAATAGCCCTTGCTATCCTTGAAGGATGAACATGTGCACTGTTGGGATGGAAAAAAACAACAAAAATCTTGGTACAATTTTCCTAGTCTTATCCTCATTGATTCAGCTTTCCATTTTCTTAAAAGTTCTTTATTAAGTCCCTGTGTTCAGTCTATAACATTCAAGAAAATCTATCAAGATTACCCCTTTTGAGTCCCCAAAACAGTCACCATAACCTTCTGCACTAACCTTTCTTACGTGAATTTTATTGATCCAGCAGATCCTCTCAGAAACCACTGTTTTGAATGGTCCCTTTTTATTGAAGACACCCTAATAAGACTAAGACAAATGTATTACTGAGATAAATTGCATGTAGCATCTACTGATTGTAGAATCATGTTTAAACGTGTTTTGTTTTGAATGTAGCCATGCATGCATAAACTAGAACCTAATAGCAGTACTTTTTGACTTACCCTCTGATTCAATTGAGCCATTCATACAGAAAACCAGCAGCATCAGACAGCATCCTGAGATTAAGATACACAACAACATCATCCAAATATCAACCCACATAAAAAATTCTCAAAAATATAAAAGTAAACAAATTCAGCAAATATATAGTAATATGCCAAAAACTATTGTGGCTAATGGTGTGTGTTATGAGCAATTATGCCAAAGTGCTTGACTTTAAAACATATATAAGAAAACACACCTAATTAATAGATTTGTTGGTAGATTAAAAAATAATCATAATTCTGTGTACATGTGTACATAGTTTACCAACAATTATGGACATGGTAGGTCTTTTTTTTTTCTTTCCCTAGCATGAGAAATCTAGAGAAGAAAATTGTGGCTTAGGTATTATAAGATGCCTTAGTGGCCATTCTCCTGTTCAATCTAAATCATAATTCTTTTTTTCTTTTTATCTTTCTTCTTTTCAAGAGGATTTGTGGAATTTGATGTTAAAAAAAGAGAACATCCATCAAAGTGACTTCCCAGATGATTTTAAATCATAATTTATAGCTGATATAATAGCATATTGGACAAATTGTTAAAAAAAAAAAAAAAAGTCTGTTCCATTTAACGAATCTAAGTATCCTTGTCTATCTACAAGCAAAAACAAACAAAAAAAAGTGTATGCTCTTCTGATTATTGTAATAATTTAATCTTCTAAATTAATTTAAAATAGATATATTTATATTGTCTTAAAGTAGCTGACTTCATGAGATTTTCTTAAGAGAAAAAGGCACAATTATGGGGTGAAAAAATACAGTGTTGGAAGTTAATTAGACATGATTTTTATCATTAGGTACTTGCCTGTAAGTCTTGCCTATGAAGGGATGGAACTGTACTCACTAAAGCTAAGGTTCATGGAATCATGCAACTATTTATTATGAGAAAAAGCAAAATTTACTGAACCTTATTCCAAGAAAAAAATCTAGTAATGTTTCTTCCGCAGTCAGATCATATATGTGCAAATAACATGGTAGGAGCGCACAGGAATACCTGTTTTCTACCTTATTCAAATCTCTCTTGAGAATGTAGCAAAATGTTAGCGTTGGAAAAATAATAGCAATAGCTAGTACAGACTGAGCACATAACTGTGTTTCAGATCTTAATCATTTTATTTGTAGTAATCTATCTTTTTGGTTAAGCAATTGGCTAACCAAAATCCAATCGCTAAACAATCCACCAATTGCTCTATGGGAAAAAGATGTAGCGGTCTTCTTCCATAAAGAGTCACAACATTGGAAAGCTTATGGGACAGTTGTACTCTGTCCTATAGGGTTACTGTGAGAATCAATTCAAAGACGACGGGCTGTTCTTTTGGGTTTGGTATAATAAAGATGTACTGTTACTTTTTAAGTTTTATAACTAAGGAAAACAAGACACAGGGAAATTAATGAATTTGACCATGGTAATAATGGAGGGAGGTGGGATTTGAACTCAAGAAGCCTGAACTCTAGAATCTATGCCACATCACTAAGCCATGGTGTTATTGGAGAAGAGAGTAGATGAGTCTGTTGGAGAATGCCCTAGAGCATAGTGATTCAACTGTGTGGTCTTAGGCCCTTTGGTGTCTATAAAAACAGAGCACTACTCTTTTAGCCAATTGAGTTAACTTAAGCACATTCAAGGGAAGCATGAAAACAAAAAAAAAGCCGGTCTTTTATCTACTGGCTACATTTCATAACTTGAGTGTGATTAGTGTAAGCTCAGGAAGCTGCTATCGTATTACCCTCAGATTTTGCCCATCCTTTCCCATAGCTTTCAAGAATGAAAATCATGCTTGGGCATTGGAATCAAGACATGTCCAATACAGACACTTTTGACTCTCAGCTCAATGCCAGTGAAGCTTCTGTAAACATTCACTTCCATATTTGGCTCCTATTTCTCAGGGAACGGCCTATCTCTTTTTGCAAGTTACTGGGAAACACCTCTACCCATTCAGGCTACTGGGACACACCTCTACCCATTGATATCCACACCCAAAATACTTGGGCTGCCACCCTAGAGTTTCAATGTATGAGGAAGACCAATAGGCAGGGAAATGTGGAAGACTAGAAAGAGCAAGGGATATAGAAAAGACAGAGTTTCCACTTCTAACATGGCTGCTTCATAGCTGTGTGATCCTGGGCAAGGCAACACATCCCTAAGCCTGGATTTCCTTAGTAAGGATGTAAAGATAAACAATTGGAGATGTCATTAATATTTTAAATGTGGGGACTTTAATCCTTCCAGATCTTAATGCCAGAATTTTTAACTTCACATAACAAACATAGTGTGGATTCCAACATCAACTTTGTTGTTGTTGTCAGGTGCCATCAAGTCGGAAC